TTTTCAATAAATAATGTCTATGTCAATGTCTATGTCTTGGAATAAGAACACTAAGGTAGATACCCGGTTAAATTTTAAAAATGTATTACAGTTCAATAGTATGTTTTATCACAAATTTAATACAATCCTTTACATAATTGTATTATTTTTAACCAGTAGAAGACAGCCTACGATAGGTTGATTAAAAATTAAGATTGTGTCCATGTATGGCCTCTCATTATTGCTAACTTTTATATTATTAAATGAATCGATGTTTTTATAGAGCAAACATTAAGACCTATTAATTAAGATTAACTGTAAGGACGGGTGTGGTCCTTTTTTACAGTTTACCTCCATTTATTAGTACAGAATATAACGCACTATTTTGTGAATTACTGCTAAGTATTTTATTTTATACCCAAATAAACGAATGGTTAATAGAAACTCCCACAAAACTAACCGAAAACACACTCGAATAGCCTTCAAATTGTACAATAGTATGAGATGTCTACTAGCATTATCGGAACCAAGCCAATACAGCAAAACCTCATTAACTCGACACCCAATAACTCGACAATCAACAGCTGACAGGGCGCTCGTCCAGCCGGCTTTGTCTCAATATTGTGTTTGACTTTTCAAGTTTTAATTAATTGTTGAGTAATCTACATTTCTTTGAATATTGTTTACTCAATATGTAAAATACCCATGTAAGTAATAAATGTATATGTAAAAATTAGTATGTTTCACATTCATTTATCAAATTCCATTAAAAATTTCAATGTTCTGGATAACTCGGCAACCTCTTGGTCCACGAATTGTCACAAATTGAGTTAGTGAGGTTATACTGTTGCTCAAGTATGCAAATACCAAACACACCCATTTTATTTTCTTTGATTTATTTTATTTCTTGCATTTGTTTTAACTGTTGTATTTATTTTGTTTATTTGCTAGACGACATTCACATATGTACAGTGACAGATTGGCAATACAGAACTAAGATTATTCAATTTATTACTACTTACTAAGTATCGCAGCTGTAACATTATACAGAGAAAGATATTTCCCTTAATCCATATTTTTACAGTACTTTTTACAAAAATTGGTGATTCTTAAACTGTAGTTTGAATATGTTTGTATTATGTACATTAAAATAAGATGAAAACATAATAAAAATTCGCTCCATCCGTAACCGATACAGTTTCAACTCTGTATAACTAAAACGTCACGTTGATAAAACGTATTGCGACTTAGGATAGTCGGTATAACCAACTCCCATACCTTGCTCATGCAAAGCTCGGCCCCCAGGTACAAATAAATGTATCTTTACATCCTGTCTTCACTCTATTCACTTGTCGGATAAGGAAGGATGTTCTTCACTTCCCACGTCCACATTATCATAGACAACAGAATGTCTGCAGAGATCGGCTAAACCGCTACAACATTAGTTATACGGCGGATACTAGAGTCATCAATTTGAGGTTTGTCACTTAGATTTAATGTAAATTAGGGTTGGTACAGCGTGGAAAATGTCGTGGACGGATAAATGGTCTGTTCATTTTGCAATCTTGAAGACCTCAATGTTTTTATGCAGTCATTTTTACGTTTCTACAATATTTTAGAGATACCTTAATCAGATTTCTTTGAAAGGCATGTTACTGTAAAAATGCTCTTCTACAAAGATTTAGTTTAAGGAATTATAGGTTTGCCATTTGATAAAAAAACATAAGGAATTATTTATTTTGAAATATTTGTTTTATATTTTGGGTATTTAAGTATTTTAGGAAAAACATATTAATATCTGTTTTCTACACATCTTTCAGCCATGTTCAATTTGTATAATTTGTAATGTTTCCAAGTCGAATGGTAAAAACTATGGTTAGTAATGAGCATCAATAAGAAGAAGTTTACAACTTATAAAGTTAGTAAAGAACGTATTAAAAAATTTAATAAATACTTCTTTTAATCGATTTGTTAAAAACTATTAAGTCCAATTATAGGTTAACACCTGCAAGTTTATTTTCTGTTTGTATCTTAAGTAATAGCAAGAAAAAAACATTAAAAACAAAAATCTTTTGTGACGTATAGTGATACAAGTGCAACGGCGCAGGTTAAGCAATTTAGATACACTTGTGTATTGCGGGAGGTTTCACCACGCCCTTCAGATCCTTACCTACCCAGGGGTGAGAAAGCCTTCATCGTTTGATTTTGCATCGATGTTCACACCGCATGCAACTTTTATATACCTATAATGTTATAGTTCTTAACTACGGCATTATAGCTTTATTTTTATACGAAATATTTATGTTATGATAAATTGATGATTTGTACCGTTCTATCTAAAATAATACATACATAATACCATACCCATTTCCATAATTCTACGTTATGAAACTCTACCCAATAGAATATAGCTTCTTAGAGCTATTAGTACGTAGTTAGAGTAAAGATTTAAGTTATTGATTTACATGGTGAAAATAATAATCTATTTTTAATCAACAAATGACAACAGCTATCAGTTTATAATGTGAGGTGTTTTAAGTCATTTATAATATTATGACATTTTGTAGAAAAAAAAAACTCTGAATCAAAGAAAGTTGTTCTAATTTGATAGGTAACCACCTACCTTAAATTGTTCTAAAAACCACTTGGGCACATCTTTACACATAGCTAGACAACATTCGTTATTATAGGGGTTTGACTCAAGCATCTTGGAATAAAGTTCAGTCTCCTAACCCTATGCCAGCCGTACCTTTATACCATAAGGTTCCCCTACAAAAGCATAATAGCTTAGCAAAAATGCCTGTACAATAAATACGAACCTGCTCACATGACGTCCAATGTTTAACAAGTCTTAACCAACGCTTCTAAGGATTAAGACCTACAGTGGAAAACCGTGAACTTTTATTGGTCAGTAAAATTTCAATACGGCTATGTAGGGGCTACTGCCACAGGCCCCGATAAATCAAAACCGACCCATTGTGTTGGATCTTTGCAATTTTGACCCCCCCCCCCATATTGCCCTGGGCGCTAAGCTGACGTAAACTCTTGAATAATAAGCGCTCGGCACGCTGGTCGATACTTACAAATAGTTTTACGCTTGTTCGAAGGCGGGTGTAGGAGGATCACTAGCCTTGTGGTTAGCATGTTCGCTGTTCTTGTGAGAATTCCCAAATCCAAAACAGCTTGTAGATAGATTATTTTAGCTATTTATTAGTTTTGAACTCTAAAATTTCGATCTTATATTTTTCAGCCCAATAACTGGGAAGGAATTTTTCTCTTGAATTTTAGATTTAAGTTTAGTTTCAGATAACAGATGAAAGAGGATGATTTGATGGAGGAAGAGGGGATGAAAGAAAGTTTGCTAATTGAACTATGGTATTGCAAACTCATTAAGTTAAACACAATCCCGTTCGTATTTCTCACCCACGTTAAAGTATTTGGAGTATGAGGATACCCGGTGAGGTGTTCAGCCTTCACCCGAAAGTATCTGTTTTTACCCGTCATACATTTATTTTGCATATCTACTGCGTTTCTGCACATTTAGAGAGAATACGTCTCCCTTTAGCTGTTTCTGTTGGATCAAAAGTCAACACCTCTAATACCGGTTTCTCCCATTCATATTTTCAATTTACCAAGACAACGACGGATTATCTGTCTGTTAAGTGAACCTAATGTGAATTCAAGTTGAGTGTAGTATAGAGTAAATTATGTGTCGATCTGTATTTTCCTCGTACAAAGATAAGCTTTTAGTCGTTGACACATGGAATGCGTTAATTTCAGCAAAGTATTTGTTTCACTAAATATGTTCAACTCTAACATCGATGCATAGATGAAGAAATATATTGAGGAGATCAAAGAGAGTATTGAAACTCCTCAGCTCGTGAAGACGTGGTCAGCCTCAAGAGGAAATGAGGTCCTAACAAGCTGAGATCGCACGCCTTGGACAGCGGCACCGGAAGGACAAGGACGAACCGTGACTAACAGACGCACACACACAAACACACGCGCACACTTACAGACGTACAAACGTTCGTATGTAGCATTATGACAAAGGCCATGCAAGTAGTTTTTATTTGAAAATTCAAATTTTTTTTTCGTCAAATATTTTGGGGAACCAAAAAATTGTTGAAATTGTATTTAGATATACATTAAAATAATCTGCAAAATTGAGTATCATAATTAGATTATACCACCCAATCAGTCATAATAAGATACAACTACTGGACTATTTAAATCCAAGTGTTAGTAAAAGTTACGATACCTTGTGTATCTATGTTATTGACAACAGTACTCTTTTGCATGAACTATTTATTTGATGATTTTAACAATCATGGCATCTAGTAAAACCTACGCAGCTTTAAACAAGCTCTAGGTTTCTTAAGATCAACCAAGTAAACAAAAAAATACTATCTGAAATGAACCAAACCGTGTTAAAATAGTGAAGAAAAGTATCATTAAATACTTCATAAGACAACTTAAAAATTGATTTTAAACACTACCAAATGATACAAATACACGTTTTTAATTTTAACTCTGAGTGTTTTGCAATGTTATCTTAACAATGAAAATGCATAACAAACATGGGTTCTTTGGTACTATACCAATCACACCGATAAAACGATTTCCAAATAAGATTTTAATTAGTTTAAATAACAAAATCTGCGTAACCTAACCTAACCTAAATATAGTTCACCCTTAGGTTAGGTCAGGTTAAAATTATTAGGTGTGGTCGGTATGATACCAAATTACCCAAATATATTTAAAAATGCAAACTACTAAAAGTAGCACATAAAAATAAAACAACAAATAACCAAAAATAAGCAAACTTCCAATCTAAACCAAACCAATCCAAACCTATGGAGACATCAAGATATCATATTTGACAGCAACAACGAAGTGTCAACAATGGATACAACAACAATGCAGATGCAACAATGGTCCCCCCACCCGTGGTAACCATAGCAACGACGCCCGGTATAAGGATGGCAGAAGCGCTCCACTCGCCAATTCCAACGCTACCTTGACCGTGAACCAGTGTTGTGCCATATACGGGAGTTGCCCAGGGTGAGTAAATAGTTACCACTTTATTTTTTATAATTTTAGTTAATAACCTTTTGGTTTACAAGGAGAAAGATGTTTTTGAAAAATATTTTAACTGTGCTAAAAGTATTTTTAATATGGCTTTAAGATAATGTAAAGATTTTAATATTTCCCAATTTAATGTCAAAACCCTGTGTAAAAAGTGAATATTATCTACAAAATATAGTGTTAATAGTTTTACATTTTTAAATGGAATTACCAGGCTAGTTTACAACTAATTAGAGGGAATTTGACTTACCCGTACTTAAACGTAATTAAATTTTTTTAAACATTTTTAGTCTAAATATATTTCTTCTTGACAATTTATACTTTATTTAGTTTGGTGATAAATAAATATCATTTATAAAAATGTGTTTGTTTATGTATAAGACCTATGAAAAGGCAGCTGGAGTTGTAATTATTTTTCATACTTTTCATGAATTTCTATGATATATGTCAAGCAGCTTGTTGAAAAATGTTAAGATTTTTAAAACTTAAGCGTTAAAACTCCGTATAAAAGCTAAAAAATATAATAACATCCCTCCGATAAAATTATATTGTTTAGTTTCATAGCAAAATACTATATAAATTCAATCATGATCACTCTAAACTCACGAGTAAATATTTTTAGGAACCTAGTCTTTAGGATTCAAAGATTTAAACTTGAAATCCCGTCTGCCATCAAGCTATTTTAGTTATATCAGACTAGCTAAGCATGTAATACAAATGGTATAAAAAGCTATTTGTCGATTGATGTTCTGTGTTACGATGTACATAAACATGTACTCGGTCCAAACTATGAATATTTTTTTTATTTTTTACTATAGGACCAATAATATTTATTTGTCTAAGGATTTGCCATTTACGTTTGATTTCAATTTTTTATTTTACCTTTTCAATCAAAATCTGCAAAGATAATTTGAACCTAAAAATATTTCAACCGTGAATCAATATGTTTTTCATATTTGTGACATAAGTCTTGTTCCAACTATTTTGAGGATGTAAAGACTCTTTAATTTCAAATGCTAAACCCTAAAGACTCTCGTTCTTTATTTATTCGTTGTCATTCATTAGTTGCGAGCATACACTACCATACCGACAAACGTTTTATGATTTGTTGTGTATGATAATAATTTGTCAAAACCAAATGCATGCATCACTTTTTTGCACCAGTTTTTATAAAGCAATATTATTAAAGCAAACCCTTGTTTATGTACATATGTATCTAAATTACTAAGGTAATAAGACGTTATGCAAAATAGGTTACAATGACCTAAACAGGTTATTTAATGCAAACATCCTGCAGGATGGAAGGATAAAGTCCTTGATCTCATCCTGACGTTCTCACATGCGCGTGTGATCACTGCTAACCTCTACTGGATCATATATCATATTTATGATAGACAGTAATACACGTCATATATGATAGGTGCTACTGTGCATCCTATGATCCTATGCTCCATCATTAGTATTTCCCAATACTTTATAAGAACTAGTTACATTCCATGATGTTGCATTTCATTTTAACCGTTTTGCAAACAGAAGCATAAATATGTATTGTAAACTTTACATTTTATTTTGTTTCGTATATCGTGAAAGTGACCAGATATTTTTATCTAAATTGGTAGAAACTTTCATTTACATGTCATTATTCTGAAATGCAAAATGCAAGTAGCCTACTGCTTGATATTATTGTTAAAACTTTTATAGCATTGAGGCATTTGTATGTTAACCTAAATTTTGAAGAGAACGAGATGCTTTGTTTTCATAATACCAGATTTTCTTTAGTCATGAATAATTGGCTAAAGCCTATTGACGAAAGGTCCAGCTTTAAAACATAAAAGAGCGTCTGACTTTTCTCAATATTTAACAGAAAATGATTTTTTTTTCAAATAAAAATTATTCATACAGATTTTAATTTAATTTAACGTCTGAAAATAATATTTCATAGTTTTTAAGTACTGGAATGCGAAATCGGTTAGCTCCTAAATCACACATTTTATCAGACAATGTTTTCGTTATTCGTCACTTTTTAATTTTATTATATTTTCAAAAACTTAAAATACTTAAATTAAAATAATTTAATGAATCAAGAATTAACCAAGATTAAAAACAAATTAAATGCTTATGTATTAGTAGTATCTTTACCTTTTTTACCACCAGTTTCGTAGTAAGAGAACGGGATGCAATATTCAGCAAACATTAGTAAAACCAAAAATATATTACATTCGTACAGAAATTCATATTAGACGGTTCAAAAATTCCTATCCCTGCGATCTCTTGATAAAATTCCAAGAAATTAAAATTAATCTTCCTGTAAGTTGTCTGGAGGAGTCGACCGGTCGTGGAGACGAGCAAGATCGTTGGATGCGCACATACAGGGTATAATAAACAACGAAGGACATCTCGTCAACTACTAAAGGAAGACGTTTGGTCCATCACCTTGGATGGCTTTATTATATTATATCTACATGACGTAAGCCATGCATCATGCCTGAAGGTAAAGTCACGATATTCGTCGTTGCAAGAAGAAGCTGGTATAGTAAAGGAAATATATTGCTGAAAATCTCGTGGAAATATGCCTTGTTTACTGTAGTTGTCCGCTTTATAGTCCTAGGCAACAATTAAACACTCTTACATTATGACAATACAGATAGCAAAAATGTCTATGCATTGAGGTACACATGTTATGCGTTATACCATTGACTAAGCCCTTGTCTGTGGTTATACTAAGATTGAAAATGAATCGTATGTATGTGTTTAAGGAAGGTTAAGATATCTCAATGGTTTTTTCTGAGTCTTTATAAATTTGCGATAGTATCGTCATGTATATTTTCAAAAATTGTTGATATTTCTGAATAATATAGTAGAGCATTTTATTCTTAGAAGTATATAATAGTTTCTATAGATAATACTCTCGGTTAATTATATGCTTTGTAAACTTCATTAAATATTTCGAAACTCCAAAAGCTATAGTGTGTTTATCATAATAAACCAATAAAGAAATGTGTATTCTATATTTTTCCGAAAACAAATTAGCTCTTTAAGTTTACTTTATTTCCATTAAAGGATTTATTTTGTTATTGAACCATTAAATTTATATCAATAGTACGGTCGAATTTGACTTTTTTTAATATTTCAATTTTACCTTATTTTAGAAAGAGATAAGTCACCTTAACTATTACAAAATGATATTGAACTATGTTAAAAACTTAATGAAAAACATTTCGTAAATATATAGATTCATGATAGTAACCCAAGTATAATAAGTATCCATTCGTCTAAATTCATTTGATATTTTTATTGTTTGATAATATTTGTTTAGCAACATAATTAAATAAATCTAATGAAAAACTTAATAACATTACAACAAGAGAAGGTAGGCAAAAGGAAAGAGAGAAAAGAGACTTTAATGAACGGTATTACTGATGGCGCGCCGGCACCACGTTCTCGCAGACTTTATGCTTATGGGATCTCCGGGCGATTAAGACCGTATTTCGGAGGGTAAAGGGGGGTCCAAGGGGGGGATTTATCGAGAAGAGATTACACTGGTAACCTGAGCTCCTGTGGTGGAACTAGCTCAGGGAATGCGGTGCTGACCTCTGTAACCACTGGCCTGCTGTTGTGATTATCAATATTGTCTTTGGACCTGTAGATCATTTTGTTTATCACTGTCTCCTGAGATGTACATAGGATGAAGACATACTTATACTGTATACAAAACTTTCGTTTTAGTGATGAATTTTGCAAAGAAAACAATTTTATAGTATTCATATTTTATTACTAACATGATAGTAACATTAATGCAGAGATAAATGGATTGCAAAATCTTGTAGGCAAGCCTAGGTACACGTACTTCAGGAGGCGATGGAAAATGATTAATTACCCAATTTTTATTTCCGTTTAAATGTTTTTCGTGTATGACCACCCTTAAGGTCTATAATGTTAATAAACCAGTGAGACAAAACAATAATAAGCCTAGAAAGTTTTTAAAAGAATAAGTAATTAAATCTTGTAACTCAATAAAATAAATAAATTAATTAAATAATAAAAACTTCATTTCATTTGTGTTAATGAAAGAGCATTATATTACACATAATTGCATTTAAGATGTCCTTTGTAACATAGGCACAGGTAATCAAGAATTATAAACAGCCTAGAAAAGCGGAATAGATACACCTAAATATAACGCAAGTATGCACAATCCATAACATTTTAAATATACAATCCATCCACACTCAAATTGAGATACCATCGTCCAACAGCACTGAGTTGCCAAAACATTGTGCAATATATCATTCCTTTTAGCAACATTTATCATCTAAATACCGCGCGAAAACCGTAAAATTGTTGAATTAAGTTGGCAAAACTGTCGCTCCCTGGCGGGAAATACAAACGGACAAGAATATGGCGGAAGTGAAGTGGTTTGGGGATTCCACCTACACGCTTTGTCGAGTTTAGTAGGTCAGCCTCTTTTGGAATTCACCTTAGCATAATCCGCGTGGACGTTGATTCATGGGCGTTCGCCTCAGGAGAGGTATTTAAAAGGATAAACCGTGTTTATTGTTAAAGTGTATCTAATGGAGTTTGTCAGTGTTAAAATGTCTACGTGCTGCCGAAGTGTAGTGAATTTAAGAAATGTTTCGTAGGATTATACGCAGTATTTATCCTAGGTTTAGATATTGACCTCCTGCGATATTTTGGTTATAAAGAGTATAATTCTCTTTAAAGTGGATGGAATAATATGTAATTTAGTTAACTTTTAATTGAAATAAAAATTGTAGAAGTTAAATTAAAGTTTCCATAGGAATGACGTGAGTATCTCAGAAGACCCTAAATGCCAAAATATACCTTAAGCTAGTATTTATTGGTCCTTAAAACGTGAATAGAGAGAATTGTTTCCTTATTCTTAATTCTTATGTTCAATTATTTAATTGTTGAGTATATGTTTTTTTCTTTATTAGTTGATCTTCTAAAAGGCAGAT